TAAGGATGTTCCTTAGGATTCTTTTCATTTAAAAAGATGGTAGCTGGGCTAGCTACATATGCTGTGAATTGCAGTCCATCAGCATCTGGTCATACATTTATTTATTTATATTTCATCCTACATAGTAGGTTCTCAGACACTAACTTGCCACTAGCCTTCAGGTTGTTTCTGACTTATTGTGACTCTGAGAATTCTTGTTGCCTGTCTTTCTCTGAGGCTGATAAAGTATAACTTGCCAAAGGGCTCACATACAGTGGATTTCCATAGATGAGAAGGGATTTGAATCCTGGTCTCCAGAGTTATAGTCCAAGGCTCAAATCACTACGCCCTCCAATCTTGTTTATTCATTCAGTCGCTTCCAACTTTTTGTGACCTCACGGACCAGCCCACGCCAGAGCTCCCTGTCGGCCACCGCCAACCCCTTTCATGAACAAAACAACTCTTTCATGAACAAAGTCAGTCACTTCAAGGATAACATCCATCTATCTTGCCCTTGGTCAACCCCTCTTCCTTTTTCCTTCCATTTTCCTCAGCATCATTGTCTTCTCATTATGTGGACAAAGTACTTCATCATTGCCTTTAATATCCTTCCCTCCTGTGAGTAGTTGGGCTTTATTTCCTGGAGGATAGACTGGTTTGATCTTCTTGCAGTCCAAAGTACTCTCAGAATTTTCCTCCAACACCACAGTTCAAAAGCATCTATATTCCTTCTCTCGGCCTTCCTTATGGTCCAGCTCTTACATCCATAGGTTACTACTGGGAATACCATTGCTTTAACTATGCAGATCTTCGTGGCCAGTGTAGTGTCTCTGCTCTTCACTATTTTATCGACATTGGTCATTGCTCTCATTCCAAGAAGTAAACGTCTTCTGATTTCCTGGTTACAGTCTGCATCTGCAGTAATCTTTGCACCTAGAAATACAAAGTCTGTCACTGCCTCCACGTTTTCTCCATAATCTTGGGGTTTTTTTATGTTTAAGAGCAACCCAGCTTCTGCACTTTATTCTTTCACCTTGGTTAGAAGGCTCCTCAGCTCCTCCCCTCTTTCAGCCATCAAAATGGTATCATCTGCATATCTAAGATTGTTAATGTTTCTTCCAGCAATTTTAACTCCAGCCTTGGATTCGTCAAGTCCCACACATTGCATGATGTGTTCTACATACAAGTTGAATTGCACTATGATCTCTTTAGTGCTTTTACTCTGTGCTAAATATATACTGCACAATTGGTTAGTGTTCATCAAAACGTGAACATGTATGGTATATTAACAGTGGCCTACTACATAGAGTAAGGGTCTTTAGGTAAATAGGCGCAGTTCTATGTGACAGAAGAGGTTTTTATTGGTTTCTGCATGTCAGCCAAAATCCTTAAATATGATACTGGTGACTAAGCTGCAAATGTATTTGTACACAATATTTTATTATAACACTTTCATTACCTAAGCTTATTAGATATTTATTGGCAGTTCCCCACTTACATATGAAAGATTTAGTCTTAGCGTGTTAAATGAAGAGGTACATGTATCATGAATAAAATATGCCTAAGTTCACAAAACCAGATTCAATAACATGTTCCAAATACTGCATGGTGTTAATGTGATTAAATATTAAGCTAAATAAATATTTTTAAACAAACAGAAACTGATTTATATTATTTCTGGGTGTCACTTTTAATAACAAGGTTTTAAATCATCTTCGGTGTTAATGTCAGATTTCACAGCTTACATAAGTCTAGACCCATGATCCCTAGCATTTGAATCTATTCAACTCACAGAAAATTAACTATTCCAGCAGAATCCAGCATCTGGTTGTACTTACAACTTTGCATCTACTTATAAATCCTTACTATTTTGAAAGTCAACAGGAGCCTGATTTTGGGGCAATTAATCTATCAAGTCTTCTCATGAATAACTCTCTTGTACTTGCTTCTAATCATGGATATGTTTTTCTCTGTATTTCACTGGTAGGCAAGAATTTATTTCCAGGTTTGACTCCTGTAAAAATTAAAATGAAGCTGACAACCAAGGAGAACTTCTATTTTAGTTTATTCTAGTAGTAAAAAAAAGCCTATCACTCAAAGCCAGGAATGTGCTTTTGAACTCCATCTTCCATCATTCTAATCTACTGTGCTGGCTAAGGACAGTGTCAATTGCAGTCCAAAAGCATCTACAGGGTCACACATTATTATTTATTAAACATTTCTATCCCATGCTATATAGTGGGATCTCAGAGCAGCATGCAAGTAAAATACTTCAAGCAGTTTAAAACCTCTCATCTAGGACATCCAAATTCAGGAAATCAACATTTGTCTCTTGTTCTATCTTGAACATCTGCTACAAGACCTATACTGGTACCAGATGTCCCCACCATTTCCTGCTTGTTTTAATTTAAATCTTTTAATATCATTATACCACTGACAAATTGGCCAGGGCCTTTCAGTTATTATTTGCACTGGCTTGTTGTTGTAAGCCTTCAAGTCATTTCCAACTTCTTGGCAAGCTTAAAAGAAAATTTGTCTTTGCCCTCATCTGAAGCTAAAAGAATGCGACTTTCCCAATATCACTCACTGGGTTTCTATGGCTGAGTGAAGACTAAAACCTTAGCTCACTGATACAACTATTATCAGCATACAATTTGCAACATAATTTTCAATGTCCTTTTCTCAACCAGAGCAACTATTTCTATGATTTAAGAAAGCATGGCAACTCTTATATTTATTTATTTATTTATTTCTATCCTGCTTTTTTCCCAGAACAGGAGTCAAAGCGGCAGTTCCATCTTGCCTCCAGAGTCATCGGTTGGGAGCCCCGCCCCCGCACCCTCCAGCACCAATTGCTGCTCTTAGATCAGAATGAAGAGAGGGGCCATGAAGGAAGTTCCATCTTGTCTCCTCCACTGTGCTTATAATATAATATAATATAATATATTGTATATACATGTAATATTGATAATATTATAATGCAATACAATATACTGCTGCTACTACTACTAATAAAATGATATTATAATTATATATTTTATATTAAATGTAATATTACTAATAATATTACAGTATAATGTAATAGTACAATGTAATATATAATATTAATATAGTGCTATGATGATAATATAATATATTGTATTTACTTTTTACTTGTAAGCTGCTCTGAGTCCCCTTCGGGGTGAGAAGGGCAGCATATAAATGTCGTAAATAAATAATACAGCATGTAAAATCAAAAAGCACTTACATAACATAACAACATAATCACAAACCACAATATGCATAAAATTAATAACGCACAACATGATAAAACCACGACACCCGTGAAACAACTAACAACTAAATAATGTAACATTATGTCTAGTCATGTCTGACTCTGGGAGGTGGTGTTCATCTCCATTTCTTAGTCGAAGAGCAGGTGTTGTCCATAGACACTTCGTAGGCCATTCAGCCAGCGGGACTGCGTGGAGCGCCGTTACCTTCCCACAGAAGCCGAAGCCATACCTATTGATCCACGCACATTTGCATGTTTTCAAATTGCTGGGTTTGCAGAAGCTGGGACTAACAGCAAGAGCTCACCCCGTCCATGGATTTGAATCACAATGTAACATAACCATTCATTAAATCAAGCATAAAAACATACATGTTAAAATATGCTCCATAGGAACCATCATCTTAAAGGTAATTAAATTTCAATTAAATTTAAATACCTTTAAAATTTCCATAAAAGCATGAGCCCTGAGCTGGCAACACCATGTGAATCCCACCTTGGACATAACAAGAAAAGAAAATCAAACTGGTGATGAGATTTAGGGCCCTTTCACACAGCCCAAAATATCAAGGCAGAAAATCCCACAATATCTGCTTTGAACTGGATTATCTGAGTCCACACTGCCATGTGTTCCAATTCAAAGCAGATATTGTGGGATTTTCTGCCTTGATGTTCTGGGATATAGGGCTGTGTGGAAGGTCCCTGGGAATATTAAGGCAGAAAATCCAACAATGTCTGCTTTGAACTGGATTATCTGAGTCCACACTGCCAAGTATTCCAATTCAAAGCAGATGTTGTGGGATTTTCTGCCTTGATGTTCTGGGATATAGGGCTGTGTGGAAGGTCCCTGGGAATATCAAGACAGAAAATCCAACAATATCTGCTTTGAACTGGATTATCTGAGTCCACACTGCCATGTATTCCAATTCAAAGAAGATACTGTGGGATTTTCTGGCTTGATATTCTGGGATATAGGGCTGTGTGGAAGGTCCCTGGGAATATTAAGGCAGAAAATCCAACAATGTCTGCTTTGAACTGGATTATCTGAGTCCACACTGCCATGTATTCCAATTCAAAGAAGATACTGTGGGATTTTCTGCCTTGATATTCTGGGATATAGGGCTGTGTGGAAGGGCCCTGGGAATATCAAGGCAGATAATCTACATTATCTGCATTGAACTGGGTTATCTGAAGCCTCTTCCGCTCAGCTGTATAAAATCCACATTGAACTGGATTATATGGCAGTGTGGACTCAAATAAGTTAGGGCCCTTCCATACAGCCCTATATTCCAGAATATCAACCCTAAATACCACAATCTCTGCTTTGAACTGGATTATCTGAGTCCACACTCAGATAATGTGGGATTTTCTGCCCTGATATTCTGGGATATAGGGCTTTGTGGAAGGGCCCACAGTTTGGAGCTTGCAAGACCTGAGCAAGGGAATGGATGATGAGGGCTTTGGGGTGCCCCACATTCATGTAGGGTTCATCTACACTACACTGTTATCCCCTTTGGAAACAGTTTAACTGCCTCAAATGAAGTGTTTCCCAAACTTCTCTTCCAAGGGTTTGGACTTCAGCTCCCAGAATTCCCCACCATTGGCCAAAACAGCTGAGGCTTCTGGGAACTGAAGTCCAAAAGGGAGGCATGGCCTGGGGGAACTACTGAGGATTACTTTGAGCCTTCGAAGGCGGCTATTCGAAGGGTTTTAATTAAACTCGACTGGGAAAACCCGCCCCAGTTATTACCTTGGCTGCCGCCCGAGGCAAAGGAACGGGGCGCTGGCTGGGAAAGCTCATGGCGCTCTCGAAGGCTCCTTCCTTCTTTCCTTCCTCCCGCGCGTCGCGTCTCCTAGGCAACGAGTCCTGTCACCTAGATAAAGCCACCAGCTGGACACCTGAATAAAACGACAGCTTCTTCTAGGAAAAAGCACACGTGCCCAGCTGTAAACTAAATTAAAAATATTATCAACATGGAATAAAGACACAATAATAACCCGAGCTGCACAAAATGCTTGCAACAGCTTTTGTTGAGCTGCAAGGACCCAGGACGCCGATGATGTCGACCCTCTCTGACTGCGCATGCTCAGTAAGGGACGGTGCAGAGTGCGCATGCGCACCCAGACTTGTGTGAAGCACAAGGGAGGAAGTGCTCTGGAAGGTAACACCTTCGGAAGAGTTTGCTGGAGCCATGGGGAAGCTCAATGTCGTTTTGCTCCGATACCTTTCCCGGGAGCACTTCAGGGTGTTAACTGCGGTAAGAGGCGTTTCGCCAGTTGCTGTTCTTAATTTAGGGTTGGCTTGTGGCCAGAACAGGCCAAGAAGGGCCCTGTTGGAGAGAGGCTGCCTCAGGCCTGGGCAAACTTGTGCCCTCCCTCCAGGTGTTTTGGACTTCAACTCCCACAATTCCTAACAGCCGGTAGACTGTTAGGAATTGTGGGAGTTGAAGTCCAAAACACCTGGAGGGAGGGCCCAAGGCTGTTAGGAATTGTGGGAGTTGAAGTCCAAAACACCTGGAGGGAGGGCCCAAGTTTGCCCAGGCCTGATCTGCACTGTAGAATGAGTGCAGTTCGACACCACTTGAACAGCATTGGCTCAATGCGATGGAGTCCTGGGATTTGTAGTTTGGTGAAGCACCAGCTCTCTTTGACAGAAAAGTGTCAATCAAGATGAGACTCGAGATATCATACCAAAGTTAAAACAGATACAAGTAAAGTATTTGTGTCATGCAAGTTATAATATCAATAATCTATCAATACATTATAAAGTGGTTAAAAAACCAATATAAACAACACAGTATATATATGAGCCCCTTTTCCCCATGTGGTCACTTCTCTGACAAAATCTTTATGGGCATTTCCACACAGCCATATAACCCATAATATCGAGGCAGATAGTCCACAATATCTGCTTTGAACCTGGGTTATCTGAGTCCACACTGCCATATAAGCAAGTTCAGTGTGGAATTTATGCAGTTGTGCGGAAGGGACCTATAAAAGGATAGCTTATGTTTTATGGTGTCTTACATGTTATTGGTTTTACTGTTTTTATACATTTTACTGTTTTTAATTGTGTTACTTGTAACCTTTGTTTGTATTGGTCCCCATGTAAGCCACCTCAAGTCCCTTTGGAAGATGGAGGTGGGATACAAGAATAAAGTTATTATTATTATTATTATTATTATTATTAAAGATATCTGCAAACCTGGAAAGCCTGCTCAGAAGATTTAAAGGCACAAACAGGTTCTTATAAGAAGATTTTGTTCTACAGAGTCATTTGCGTTGATAAATAAGTCATCAAGAGCAATATCATATTAGCCAATATTTAAAAATTAGGAGTAGGGCACACATTAAGAATTTATGGGTTTATTTTTATTTTTGTACTTCTACTCTCCCTTTTTCCCAAAAAGAGTTCACTATAGAATTGTCCTTAAAAAGACAAATAAAATGATCTCATTCTTTCTTTTTTTTACTATTTCAGGTTGAGATGGGTATGAAGAACCATGAAATAGTTCCTCCTAGCCTGATTGCCTCCATTGCCAGCCTCAAACATGGGGGATGCAACAAAATTCTGAGAGAATTAGCAAAACACAGGCTCTTGGCTTATGAGCGAATTAAAAGTGAGTATGAATTGTTGGCATGTATAGCTTACAAATAGTGTTTGTGTCACTGGATCTTATTCTTCAGATTTGTTAATATTGATGAACAGGTCTTCAAGGGCATGAGCCAATATTTAAAAATCAGTAGGGCACACATTTCTTATGAATACAAACAATCCAAAGTTGAAAAAACTGCCATTACCTGGAATATTTAATTGCTGATGCTCCATCTACACTGACCATAGAATCCAGTTTCATTCTGGTATTGAAGTAAGTGGTTTCATTGTTCAAATGATTGCATAGGAAACTCTGGAACCAGTTTGAGGCCTGGATTGTGATTATACAATCCCACAGAGCCCTGATTCTCATTCAGGGCTTTTTTCCACATGAGTTTGTTGCCTGGCTGTTTGAAACTAGCTTGGCACTTCATTAAATGGTCAGCATAGATGAGGCCAAAGATGCCCTTAAATATCCTTGTTTCAGCATTTTCAGTACAGTCTGCAGTATGAGTGTTTAATACAAGAGTGCCTCAAAAATTTTTGCCTCCTGTGTCATAAACATTATGAATGAATATATAACAGCAGAGGTTGCTACAGATCATAGCCTGAACTGTCCTCTGTACAAATCTACTGTTCAACATAGTAACCATCAATTTATGCACATTTGCGCCATCATTTAACCCAGGCATCAAAACCATTTTGGAAAAATTCAGGGTTTTGTTTTGTGATCTGTGGTTTTAAATCTGTTTTAATGTCATTCAAGTTATTTAATCTGAAACCACATAGGTTGTCTTTCAGAGGTCCAAACAGGTAAAAGTCAGAAGGGATGAAATGATTCTTCAAGCAATTATGGATTTCCTTAGGTGCACAACCTCTTTTTGCCATAAATATAATTACAACTCTCTTTGAGCTTCAGATTCATGGTTCTAATCAGCCAATTGTAAAAATAAAGGACTATATCAGTAGAGTAAGGTTACCTCTATCATATCATGCATTGATAGTCCAGTAGCTGTGAAAGAAATTAGAGCAATGGAGGTAATACGTTTTAATCCACCCTCATATTATATGATGCTGAAACAAAATCCCTTGGTAGAGGTCAAATTAGCCACTGAGAAAGATTTCTTCTCTGTGGTTTTAACTATTAATGGGGTTTAAATCAGTTTTAACTGTTTATTTTTAATATCATTAATACTTAATTCTATTTTCATGTTTATATTTTTTTAGGCTTGAAATTGTTTTGTTGGTTTTACTGCAAGCTGCTTCGACTTTCTTTTTTATAGAGAAAAAGGAAGGAAATAATGTCTTCATAGTTTTATTTACTAGTAATGTGCATAAATATTTAACTTCTCGGTTTGTTTATTTTCATTCTCCAGCTGTTCAGGGCTATCGATTAACTAATGGAGGATATGATTATCTTGCCTTGAAAACTCTTTCTTCTCGACAAGTTATCAGTTCGGTTGGAAACCAAATGGGTGTTGGAAAAGAATCAGGTATTTGCAAACATTATTTGTGTGTTGTTATATATTGTAGTGAATTTATTTATTTACTTTACTTTACTTATATACCGCTGTTCTCAGCCCGAAGGCGACTCACAGCGGTTCACAACAAATAAGAACAGCAAAAATTCAATGATAGGCTCTCTAGAGACATATAACTCTAGAATCTCTTCAACTGTTAAGTGGGAAGTACAAAAATACAATTTGGATGTGCTAAAATTATCTTTGTATAATAACCCTAATTTGACTCCAATTTTGTTTTTGAAAGACATTTATATTGTTGCAAATGAGGAAGAGGAGCAACTTGCACTAAAGTTACATCGACTTGGGAGAACATCCTTTCGGAACTTAAAAAACAAGCGTGATTATCATAAACACCGGCACAAGATGTCATGGCTTTATCTGTCACGGCTGGCTGCAATGAAAGAATTTGCCTACATGAAGGTATTGGTTGTTTTCTTTTGATAGTGTGATGCCAGGCCCATAGGGTTTAACCAATTTAAATAGCGGCTGTGGGTGGCACAATAATAAATCTCCAATTTAAAGGTATAGTCTGTCCCTGAATATAATTTATTAAAGAGAGAAGAAGGGCATAGTTGGAACTATTACTTCTTGAGTTAAAATAGCTAGAATTGGTGGCAGGGGATGGGACTTCTGGATATTGTTGTCCAAAAATATGTTTTTAAACTCTGGAGAGGAAAGGAGAAGAAAATGTCTGTTGACTTCATGGTCTTGTCTTGGACTTCCTTGAAGGCTGTAGGTAGCTCCTTTGAAAACAGGCTCCTAGATTAGGGACCTCTTTATACACAACCTAGCACAGTATTATTAACACTGACTAGCAGGATAGGCTTTCAGTGGGATGCTTCTTTCCTGGGGTGCAGGTATTGAACCTAGGGCATAAAAAACAAGTACTTCGCCACTGAGTGACATGTCCTTTGGTATGATTCTGTTGCACTCTTATGCCTTTTTTTACATTCTTGCAACTGGATGGATTTTTGCCTGGTATCAGTTTACCTGATTATATTTAGGCCAGAATTAGTATCCATTATTCAAATTATCAAATAATACATTAATTCATTAGTCCTAACCTTAGCTGAAAGAAAGATATGAATATATTGCTGATTATGTAAGTTTTGCCTCTTCTTTCCCTTTCCTCTTATTTTTTTGGCCAGGCTTTGCATGACAGAAAATTTCCAGTTCCCAAGCCATATGACTACAATCGACATGCAGTAGTAATGGAACTTGTCAATGGATACCCACTGTAAGTATGAATGCCTTGATAGCACAGAGAAAATAATGTATAACTGTGTTTTTTAAGAAGTTTGTGTTTTAACCTGTTCTTTTCCATCTCTCCTCCAACAAATTTAGCCTAATTGTAGAGATTTTAAATGCTATTTTAAGGATTTAATATGTTGGAAATTATGTGGATTACGTTATGTTTTGTTCATTAATGTTGGTTTATAATTATTGAGTTGTTCTTGATTTGTTTGTTAATTTGCTTATATATTACTGTCGGCAGTCAATGCTTGCCATTGTGTTTTGTTGTGAGCCACCCTGATTCCATTCAGGGAGATAGAGAAGGCTATAAATAAAGTTTTATTCAGTTTCATTCATTAGGAGTATATGCTTCAGTGTAGCATATAGCTTGATAAACTGCCAGAGGTATTCTGTGGATGGAATAAAAGTAGCTGTTGTTTCTGGCTCATGGTTAGAAAATGATAGTATGTATATATAGAGAGAGGGAGAGAAGCTAAAAGTTTTCCCTTAACATTAAGTCTAATTGTATCCGATTCTGGGGGGTGGTGCTCATTTCCATTTCTAAGCCGAAGATCCAGTGTTGTTCAGCAGCTCAGCGGTTTAACCTGCTGCACCACCAGGGGGACCTGGTGTGTGTGTGTGAGTGAGAGAGAGAGTATGTAAAAGGTAAAGGTTTTCCCTTAACATTAAGTCTAGTTGTGTCCGACTCTGGGGGGTGGTGCTTATCTCCATTTCTAAGCCGAAGAGCTGGCATTTTCCATAGACACCTCCAAGGTCATGTGGCTGGCATGACTGCATGGAGTGCTGTTGCCTACCCACCAATGCAGTACCCATCGATCTACTCACATTTTTCATGTTTTTGGACTGCTAGATTGGCAGAAGCTGGGGCTAACAGCAGGACCTCACCCCGCTCCCTGGTTTCGAACCGCCAACCTTTCTGTCAGTAAGCTCAACAGCTCAGTGGTCAGTAAGTTCAGCAGCTCAGCACCACTAAGGGGCTTCAAATATATACAGAGAGAGAGAGATTATAATAAATGTGAGAACACTATAATTCCTGCCAACAACAGATCTGGACCAAAATTGCTCGAGGGAGGACCCTGGACAATAAAAGTAGCAAAAAGAAACCCACCAGGAGTTAAAGTGGGTCATGTTGGGTTTGTATGGCAAGTTTGGTCCAGATCTGTTGCTAATGGGGTTTGTAGTGGTCTCAGCGATGGATCTGGACCAAATTGGCACACATACACAGCATGCCAAACTTTGCATATCGGTGGAGTTTGGGAGGAATTGATCTTGAATTTTGAAACTTATAGTTCACCTGAAACCAGAAAGTACTGTGAACTCAACCAACAATGGATCTGGACCAAACTTGGCACACAGACATAACATGGCCTTCTGTTAATACTGGTGGGCTTTGGGGAAAATTGGTCATGAATTTTGGGAATTGTAGTTCACCTACATCCAGAGAGCACTGTGAACCCAAAAAATGACAGATCTGGACCAAACCTAGTACACAGACCCAACATGCCCAACTTTATCTTCTGGAGTGATTGGAACAATAACAGATGATGATGGGGGTTGTGGTTTGCCCAACTTCTTATGCATTTTCTAATGGATCCATTCTTAAAATCCAAAACACAACAATGAATACGTTTTATGTTTATCATTATAAAAACACCTAGCCCAGGCATTGCCGGGTACCTGAACTGGTATCGTCCCTTAATGAGGAGTCTATCCTAATCCCCAGTTCTGAGGCTCATGTCTTTATTTTGAAAATAATGTATGTTGTAGGAACACTTTACTTAGACCAGCTTTCTCAACAAGCCACTGGGCCACAGAGCTCAATACAGAATAATATTGAATATTCATAAGCACTCTTTTCAAGTTCAAAATGGGTATTGTACTTAAACGTAATTCTACAAGAGCTAGCAATTTCTGCCCGCTCCTATTGAAAACAATGTACTTTGTGGGCCATTGATCTTTCTCTGGACAGGGAACCTTCTTTTCTGTATTTTTCAGAGCTGAGAAGCACACTGTCTCTATCTATTCCACAACTTATCTTGAACTAGATTTTCCTAACGTGGTGCATTCTTGACAACAAGTCATGATGTGGGAGATGATGGGGGTTTTAATCTAAGCTATCTAACGGGGGATGGCTGAAAATTCAGATATGAGGTTCTTTTCCTACTAATCTAATTTTGTTTCTTATGTTCAGAAACAGCTACTGAAGTGCAGCTAAAATTGCAAATTACCACATTTCATGCTAAAACATGTGATCACTTTCCTTAAGAGAAAGTGTTGTTTTCAGTGAGCCTTATTCAAGTTCCATGAGCAGCTAACAATTTTCTAGGTGAGCTTTTCTGATTAGGCACAGTTCTAGTAATTTCCTTTTTGAATAGGCTTGCTGGCCCTTTGTCTTGACAAAAAGCTAATGTCAGACTTTGAGTACAGTATCACAACTGGCTTTTATTTTGTGTCTCTGTGCTAATACACTTGCTTATAACATCCGTTCAACATATTTTCTGGTGTTACTTTTATTTCTTTTCATTTGTTTTATAAAATGTCTAAAATGTGTAACCATACCATTTAAAAATAAAAGTCCCTTCCCTTAAACTTGAAAGCAGCAAAAATGACTGAATTTGTTCTGCCCGTATTTATATGTTCACACTGCAAGTCCTGGAATTGTTAAGATTTCTTTGAGACACAGAGTTGAAATCAAAACAAAAAAGATGAAGCTGAGATTGTTGAATGCTTACAACTATTTCAGATTTATTCTCTGGTGTTATATTAACAACAATATCCAGTCTTTGCCCGCAAAGTGCTGACTGTGTGTTTGCACAGCTGAAGGCATTAGTGTCCAATCTGACCTTCATTTTTATTCTGGGATCAAGACTAAATCAGCTGCTTTTGCAAAAAATGACAAGGTCACATTATAAATATGATAAGGTAGCCATCTGGAGTGAACTCTTTAATCAAAAAGGAATCACTTTCAAAACTTGAATTAATTGAAGAGTAATAAAAAGAAAATTCCTGTTTTAGACACTCAGCATTTCTTATAAGCCCTTAAAATATCACATATACAAAAGATATTGCAAAAAGGATAAAAGGATATCTTGATAGTATAAAGACTTTTTCTGTATGAGCTGTGGCTTCTCTGATGGCTGAAGTAGGTACTTTGATGGCGGAAAATTTTAAATATATATAGTTCTCAAACTGTTTTTATTCATAAAGGACAACCAGAAGTGATTTGGTATGAAAAGGTATTGTAGTTTGCAAACCACATATGTTTAGGATTTTAGGAAACACCATATAAGTACTGCAGATGCTTTAGGTAGCATCCTGAAGGATAGTATGTCCATTTTAGGAGCACCTTTGCAGGATTGTTGCTTTACAAACAACCTGTAATGCATATCTAATGACCCTTCTGAATGAGTCTTGTTCCTCTGTTATGAACAATAGCTTGTTCTGTTTTCTTTTCTTGCAAATTGCTTTTATGTTATTGTATTCAAGGAAAGTCATCTTTATTTTAAAATATTGTTACCAGGGAAAAGTCATCTGTGCAGACAGCACAAATCAAAAATAATATTGAGGGCTCTTATGTTGACCAAACCATCAGGCAGGCCATTGTTCCCTGTTTGAATGTTTAGCATTTTTTAGCTGTGCAGAAATTGTGTGGTTGGGAGAAAAAGGATGTAGCGTTCATGGCTGGAGGAATTAAAATACAATATTTTTGTTCAACTTCCTTGAAATACAAAAGTATACTTTATAAACATTTGTTTATTGACATTTGGACCACAATAATGGTAGGCTTGGTTGTTCTTATGATAAGTTAGGTATCGTATTTTTTTTTCCCTTTGGGAAAAATCCCTGGAAATTCTCAGGTAGAATAAAATTTAATCTGAAAATAGTTTTATGCGTAACTTCTTATTTTCTTTATATTATGTTTCTTGGCTGTATCTGTTTACATAGATCACGAGGGGCATCTCACTTTCCAAATGCCCACATAGTAAATATGGCTTTTACATAGGCCTGCAACTGCATTGAAAGTCAGATCTGTAGTATGCAAATTCACTAAACTGTACTAAGAATAACACTAACCTAACATTGATTTCTCTTAATTTGGACATTGTTTTTGTTAAGTTTATTGTTGCATTTGGTTTTCACTAGGCTGGTGTTTTTTATTCATTGTTTAGATGTCAAGTGCATCAACTTGAAGACCCTGCTTCTCTATATAATGAGTTAATGGAATTAATTGTCAAGCTTGCTAACCATGGTTTGATCCATGGGGATTTTAACGAGTTCAATCTCATGTTGGATAATGAAGATCGGATCACAATGATAGATTTCCCTCAAATGGTGTCTACCTCACATCCAAATGCAGAATGGTATGTGAACCTCTTTTGTGTATTATCAATGTGCTGCTGTTTTATGATAATGGTAGGCCAAAGGTTGACAACAATGTGGCAGCCAAGAGCCACTTTCCATTTTCTGTCCCTTCCAGGCCTAATCTCACCCACCCATTTGCCAGTATTGTATACCCACAAAATAATATGTTCTGAAGGAAAGATGAGGCAAAACGAGGTATTTGGGGGAAAATGGAAGAGGGTGATGTTCTGCATTATTCTGTGCCTTTGGGGTCACCTTAGTTATCATTTTCAGGTGAATCTTAGAGGCTCATGTTCTGACCAAACTGCTTAATTAGGCATTATTTCCTCTTTGTCTACAAATGCCTAACTATGGAGGTTGCTATGTGTTCAGTAGGGAAGAGAGTTGCTTGTAGCGAAATAAGTGGTAATTTAGTTTGCCTGAAAATTATGCCAAGTTTTTTTAAAAGGGGGTACAATAGTGGGGTTCAGGGGACACATTTCACCCACGAGCAGCACTTTCTTTGTCATATTTGAGTTGGGACTGTTTTGTATGACTTTGAGAAACATTTTCAAATATATTTGAGTTTGTGTGTATTCGAGTTCATGTATACATTTTGACAAAGCTGTACTACTGAGATGCTGTTTGTGACTCAGTTAATTTGTGAATATGTTGGGGTTTTGTTCAGGTATTTTGACAGAGATGTGAAATGCATTCGTGATTTCTTCATGAAGCGCTTTGGCTTTGAAAGTGAACTTTATCCAACATTCAATGATATTAGGTAAGCTACTTGGATGATCAGAGATCAAGAGCTCTTCACCCTTCAAATTCTTCCTCCACCCACTGAATACAGTCCATTTTGGTCCTATTCTCCAGGAAGGCATTTGCCATTCTGAAATGTCAACCAGGCCTCCATTAATCCCACGTTTTGGGCCCATTGTTGATGTGTAGTCTCATGTTTTGTTTTGTGAGAACTTGTGGATTTAAAAAAAATGGTCTGAAAAAAATCTTTTAATTACTCTTGTCAGTCATTATCCTTTTCTTATAAGGCTAAAGTTATTAAAGAATGTTTACATTTTAGAAGATTTAAGAATCTATTTCAAAATTAATGTTCCTCTCTAGGACCCCCTTCCCTCCAAAAAAAGGCAGCCTTGGGGCTATATGCAGCTCAGAGACTATGCTTTGTCCACACCTACTTTAAAAGAATTGTGAAGGTTTGCCCTTAATATAGAAATATTCACGCTTTACTTCCTTCCTTTTTAAATCTCTGTTGCTAGGAGAGAATGTTCTCTTGATGTTGAAATTGCGGCCAGTGGTTATACCAAAGAAATGCAGGAGGATGATGAGCTGCTTCACCCAGCTGGCCCTCATGATGAGGGTCATGAAACTCTTGGTGCGCAAAACCCCGAAGAGGGAATAACTCTGGATAATGGCACAGATCAAAAGACTGGTGCGGACTTCACAGATGAGGCGCAAGAAGCCTCTGAAGTTTTGGAACAGACCAGTGAAGAAGACAGTGCAGATGAAAGTGAACAAAGTTTGGAGCTGCGGGAGCTCAGCGGTGCCTTACAACAAGTTGAAGGACAAATTATTGCTGCTGGCGATGGGGCTAATGCAGAAGGCTCTGTAATTGATTTTTCTGAAGATAAAAAGAAAATTGAAAAATCTACCAAAATTGGAGATCAGACAGGTCAAGGAGAAGATCCTGCTGACAAAGAATATGAAGATGAATGCCCTGATCTGATTGACTTGTCTGCAGCAAACAAAGAATTCAAGCCTTTCAGGTATAGATTTGCATTCATCATTCAAAGGCTTTCCCGTGCTTTGTTTTTTTCCCCCTCTCTTTCTTAATCTGAAAAATGCATATTTCTTGTTTTAAAACCCCTTTGAAGTACTAGATTTTATTTTATAAAAAAGAAATATGCCTTTTCTAGATTAAAAATACTGAAAGTTATTTCAAATGTTAATACACTCACTGTCCATTTCCCCCCTGGAATATAACATTCTAACTGACTGATGCTATAAGAATACATTATACTGATCATGTCCTGGAATTCCAGTTTGTTACACATTGCCATTTGTGGAATAATATTAAAATGGTGCTGCCTATACATCTCTTGGTCATTTCATAGTGGAGTGAACTCAGTCCTGATTAATTCAGTCTCCTTGTGAATTAAACCCAAATTATTTAATACATCAGATATTATATATATATATATAGAGAGAGAGAGAATCTCCATCCAGATATAGCCATATATACTCGAGTATAAGTCAACCCAAATATAAGCTAAGGCACCTAATTTTACCACAAAAAACTGGGAAAACGTATTGACTCGAGTATAAGATGAGGGTGGGAAATGCAGCAGCTACTTGTAAATTTCAAAATAAAAATAGATGCCAATACAATTACATTAACTGAGGCATCAGGAGATTAAATGTTTTTGAATATTTACATAACACTGTAAGATAAGACTGTCCAACTCTGATTAAACTATTCTCACCTTCTTCAATGTAAATGTCCTTATGTAGCCTTCCAATAATAATAGAGTAAAATAATAAGTGTAATAATAACAGTAATAATAGAGTAAAATGATAAATGTAATAATAACAATAATAGAGTATAATAATAAATGATATGATAATAGTAAATAGAGTAAAATAACAAATGTAATTAAAAATAATAATAACCCAGTAAAATAATAAATAATATTGACTCGCGTATAAGCCAAGGGGGGGCTTTTTCAGTCTTTAAAAAAGGCTGAAAAACTCGGCTTATACTCAAGTATATATGGTATACAGTGTGTGTGTATAATCAATTCTGTGCTCCAGAAAACCAGGATGAACTAGTAAGATAGCTTAAATATTCACCACCATACCCTGTAACTTTTTAATGAAATTATACTTCTTTTTTCGTTCTTTTTTCTTTTTCGTGGAAGACAAATTAAAACATGAAACTGCCACATCCTGATTCAATAGAGGTAGTCATTCAAGCCATAACAGTCTCAAATCAGGCATTCAGGCAGTGGTATATTTGTGAAGTCTGCATATGGCGGTCTTCCTGCAAGTTTACAAGCAGCAAAAGACAAAAAATCTGTGATATTCATAAGTAATAGACTAAATGCCCTTAACTTCATTTCAGCAAGTTTTTAATGGCTACTTTTCATGGTGAATATTGTCCCCATTATCTACTTTATTCTGATGACATAGTTGATATTTGTAAAGGTAAATGCTTCCAGCAGAATTTGGATTAAAAGTGTTGGAGTAAAAACATGCTTTCTGTATTGCAGAGATGAAGAGGCCTTGTTTCACATCAATGACCACAGAACAAGAACCACAAGTGTGACTTCAGTTGGCAGCGCTGGAAGCCGGTCAACAATTCCTCCAGTAAGTGTGCCTAGGACACAGTCTCTCAAGGCCTGCTATCATATAGTTGTTTACAAGTACTGTGGGCCTTGGGAAATGTAATTCTGCCTTCAGTGAGCTCTTTATACCTCTTTTGGAAATACCTGTTTCGGTTGCCTAGTATGAATCTTGAGTAACACACAACCAAGATCCTTTTGACCCATAGCTGAAAACTCAAGAGTATTGTTATTTCTTTACTCTTAAGTTTAAATTATCCAGAATCTACAAAATCTTAATTAAAAATTCTCTAAAGCTTGTCAGAAATGACTTATCTTCTAATTGAATCCAGATGAGCTACCTCTTTTGAAGGCATGAACCTTTGGGTTTGAGATAATGAACTGTTGTAGTTACCTCTGAAGGTCATTGGGGGTTCTTTCTTCAAGATAACACATTTTTTTAAATATTCATTAATTTTATCTTGCTCCAGGGTAATGTTCTTACTGAATCATTACAATGGTAATGCTTCAGCAGCTGCTATGGACCCGGGACTTTAATCAAATCTCCAATTTTGCTTACTTACTGTACACTGTGTATAATGAAGGAAATGCACAGGCCCCAAATGGACAAAGGCTTGTTAACTATCCTTGCCGTTGCTTTATTTAAGATTCGTTCATGTCTCTACTAAACTGTGATTGTTTCTTTTATACAAGAGTGCCTCCAAGTGGCTATATAATTTATTGAATAGCTTGGGCTGCTGAGAAGTGCAGGGAAGTTAAAAGAGAATATGGATTTGGAGATTTATGTTGCCCTTTTGAAACATAGCTTAAAATGGACTTGTTACTTCTTGTATTGTCGAAGGCTTTCATGGCCAGAATTGCTGGCTTGTTGTAAGTTTTTCAGGCTATATGGCCATGTTCCAAAAACATTCTCTCCTGATGTTTCACCTGCATCTATCGCCTCACAGACCTCACATCCTCTGAGGGTGCCTACCATAGATACAGGCAAAACATCAGGAGAGAATGCTTCTGGAACATGGCTATACAGCCCGAAAAACTTACAACAACCTTGTTATTTCAAATGTTTGTTTGCATTTTCATTTGTAAATACTTTATGCATTTTAATAGATGTAATGACTAGGAAAAATATAGTGGCTTGAATTGATGTTTTTATCTGTGCTAGTTTAAAATGTGTAATTACCATATTTCTTCAATTCTAATATGCCATCAGTCGTAAAATGCAGATGAATTATTGTGGGGGGTGGGAGTGTGTCTTAGAATTAAAGAAATACAGTAGGTACAGGCAGTCCCTGAGTTACAAACATCCAACTTACAAAAGGCTCATAGTTAAGAACGAAGTGAGACAACAGCATGTGAGAGAAATCTACCCCTTGGAAGAGAAATTTACTCCTGAAAGAGTTATCGTTGGGAAAATGTGCCTCTACTGAAGCTTTCTCACCAATCCTTATTTCCACAAGCCAAATTTTTCAAAATATAATTATCACTGGGACTGATAATGAAGTGAAACCTTCTGAACAGGGGAACAGACAGCAAAACAAAGACCACAGGGGTGTTAACCCTTCTCTATACTATCCTATACTATCCAAAGCATGCGTGCGTGTGTGTGTGTGTGTGTGTGTGTGTGTGTGTGTGTGTACACACACAGGTATGGCTGGAGTTACACTTATATATCTACCTGTTGCAACTTACAAATTCAACTTGAGAACCTATCTTGTTTGTGACTTGGGGACTGTCTGTATTATGAATGAAAGCAGAAGTGTCCAACACATTCCCCTTGATCAACCTCACAGATGGAGGTGGAATGCATCCCTCCTTTGTTTTGATGGAAGCCCAACATGACTCCCTTGCCCCCTTCAACAGGATTGAGAGCAATCTGACTGACAAAGGAGCTCTCCTCACTTTACATTATAAAATGGAGAAAACCTACCAGAGCAAAAGCATACAATCTAAAAGGTTCACAAATTCCTCTTCTGCAATCCAAGGATCTTCTGACAAAAGGGATAGATTGGAAACAATGCTGGCTTTGTCTCCTAGATTCTTTAAATTCCTACTAGAAAGCAACCTTTACATTCCTTTGGTAGCGCAATCAAAAGGGGGTAATTCTCTTTCTCAAGAATCTTAAGAAAGCAAATGGCTTGCATCAACAATTGCAGTTACTATGGAAGAAAACATGCAAAAGAACGGGAAAAAATCTAAGAACTAAGGTTTTTAAAAAGCAGCAGCTCCAAAATAAAAATCTAGTTGTACATAAAGACCATGGGTTTTTTTCTTCATGGAAATTAACTATCCAAATATGGTTGTTTGTATGTAGGTTTTTTAAAAAAAAACGCCCTGTTGGGTAGAGCTTTCAAGAGAGTTCTACCCTAGAGATAAAAATTCAGTATCGGGAAATAAAGAAGAAAGTATTATCCCGTGCTTTACAAATCCCCCACTTAAAAGTCCACTGCTTTTTATTGTGAAATCCCATTCCCTGGTCTCCCCTCCAGTGCTTAGAGTTTTACTTTACCTAGAGATGGCAAACTTGAGGTATTAGAAATGCAATAAATTTAAAAAAGCTATGATTAGTTTGATATTCCCATTTGGCCAAGCATTTCTCACTTCATTGAATATAGGGCTAGTTCATTGCTGGATTGCAAGCATATTGTTTGCATAATTTGCTGGTAGAAGCTTGCTTGTTGATTTCTTCAGTATCTCATCCTTCCAAATGAGCTCAAATGAGTGTGTTGTCGAAGGGCTGGAATCACTAAGGTGTTGTATGGTTTCTGAGCTGTATGGGCATGTTCTAGCAGCATTTTCTCCTGACGTTTCACCTGATCTGTAGCTGGAATCCTCAGAGAAGTATAAATTAGGTCCTGGTCCATTTCATCCTTATGAACACATGTAGTGATAGTGATGTTCATTGAGATTCACGAGAGTCTGGAGATTTGAACCTAGCTATCCTAGGTGCACGCCTAGCACTGTGATGTACATCCAGGCTACTCAAAGTAGTGGTTCATTCATTGGTGCTGCCAATCCCTAAGTCATTAGCTGTTATCCCTGGTGAGGTTTTGTGAAAGACAACAGTTTAGACCAGTGAACACAAAGGTTGTACAAGTCCCTGACATATTGGGGAAAAAAGAATTGCCAGATAGCTGGGAAGCACTTATCACAATCTTGGCCATGTAGAGTTGTCTGTCTTGTGTTTAAGCAATGATTCTATATGGCCTACAATTAAGACATGTCAGAACATCCAAATTAATATTCGTTAGATGACTGTGTGTATAGGGGGTACTTTTTCAGCGTCCTAGTACTTGTCTCAGCCACCTGGGGGAGTAGTATCTCAAAATTTGAATGCTTTCTAAAATACTGTGCATTCCACTCTGCTTTTCCCTTTCTTCCTTTTGATGTATGAACACACTCACCAGTTTTTAGAACCTTTCCAGATTGTTTATTCTGAGTTGTCAAGAGGAAAGAATCATTGTCCATTAGTTATATTTAAAAAAGCATTTCTTGGTTAAAATATGCTAAATCGTGAACTCATTTTTGAGGTGTGAGTGGTGTATACATCATTCCTTGAGTGTGATATGACATGCAAACAAATGTAATGACTGGCTTTTCGTCTTGTAGGAATTGGTCAGACAGAAGATCAAGCGCCAGCTGACTAAGCAGCAAAAAGCTACAGTCAGACGGCGTCTGCAAAAAGGGGAGGCCAATGTGTACACTAAACAACGGCGGGAGAATATGCATAACATCAAGTCAAGTTTGGATGCAGCCAGCTTCTGGGGCTGACAACATGCAGAAATGCTTTCTTCTCTTCCTTTGTGTTGCATAACACCAAAAACAAAGGGTCCAGTTCTTTATATTGTAACCCAGATATATTTTGGATCCATACATGGTGATTAAATATCAATCTATATACATATAAAAGTCAAAGTCCGTCTGTCTATCTGTTTGTACCACAAAAGCTAGGTGAAGTTGCCCTCTGTGATGTCACAGGGAAAGAAAGGTGGCATGTGATGGGGGGGAGCGGCCACAAAGAGAGCCATGTTGCCATGGATACATTATGAGATAGGCTCTCAGAGCTGAAGAAGGGAGAAAAATGGGGAAGGAAAGAAAAGGGGAAGAAAGGAGAAGGAAAGATGAGAAAGAAAAGGAGTAAAGGTATGAGGGTAGGGGAAGAGAAAGAAAGGATGAAAGCAGGGGGGCTGTGGCTCCCCCAACACCTGGACAATGGCAAGTATATACGCTGATTAAATCTATTGAAGGGGCCATAGAGTAACTAGGCTCGTAAAGTGTATTGAAGGCGATCCCAGTAAGCCACATCTTGGGTGTATCCAGTGTGATTTTTCTTTGGATCCTAGATTACTGTGTATTCTCTATCACAAACTCACAAATCCCTTAGTTGTATGAATGAGACAGTCCCCTCTTACCAAGGTCCCTCGTGGTCCCGACATGACAGGGTAACAAAAGAGTAAACACAACCCTACAATTTGCCTGGCTGGGTATAGGCCGCCCTTTTGTCTGCCACCATCACTACCCAGTTACCACCCCCAAAGTCAGTCAGCTGCACTAGTTGGCTTCCAGTACCTAGGAGTTATCTAGCAATTTGGAAATTCCATTCTTACCTTCTGGAATATAAAGAAGGGGTTTTGCCCGAGTTTCAGTAGAGCATTTTGTCATGTTACTATTTGACAGAACCATAAACAGTAATTGTCAAAGAAAGGAAACCTAGGGCTGTAATCTCTGGCATTTAATTACTTCAGTGGTTCCCAGCTTGTGGTCCGTGGACACCAGTGGTCTGAAAGAACAAAAATATGGTCCGTGGCCTCACCATTACTACACCATTGCCTCGAAACCACACAGCAACTGGTCTCGTGACACCCTCTTATAGTGCCAAGGCAACGGGGATGTCGGGAGGGGAGAGGCTGACTCCCCACGAAAGATTACTACTACCACATCAGCTCTAGATTATTAAATATGGTTTTCTGTGAGCGAGCAGATGGCGACTACTGGGTGGCATGTGTTCCATATTAGAAACTAGGGCTGATGTGGTCTATCCAATACAACTTTCTGAACACCCCAAATAACCAAACTGAATCTAAAATTGACCAAAAACCGATTTGTAGCCCTTTTGGTACTGATGTTGGAGAGTGGTCCCTGGTCAAAAAAAAAAAAAAAAAAGGTTGGGAACCACTGAGTTACTTAGATGGATTTAGAACAAGGTTGACTAATTTCTAGTCCACTTATGTGCATATGGGCATAAGTATTCAGTGTAGCATACTCGCTGGGAATTATTACAATTTCTAGGTAAAACTATGAAATAATGTATGTACTTAAAGAATACACTGCATCGAATGCCTTCAGTGTTTGCAAATGAAGTTAGGTAACAAAATGATAACCATGCAGAAGATACGTATGTATAAACATGGCAAATCCACAGACTTAAGCTGCTCATGGCTGTTATTTTCATCCTTGTACCTCAGTTACCATTAGCACCATTAACTTCTGACTATATTGCCTTAAAGTTTTGGCAAAAACATTGGATCTGACATATTTTTTATCACCAGTTTCTGAAATATGAATAAAAGTGAGATGATATACGTAGCATAAGTAGATATTTGAACCCAAAAAATTTGCATTTGGTTTTTCTTTCTCTCCATGCCCTTGAGGTTTCATGTATAAATCCTGCCCAAATGGACAAGTAATAAAAGTGATCTTGTACAGGCCTGGCAGGCCCTCCATCTCGGAGTGGGTCTGTGCAACTGGTAATAAATTTTGTTCCTATACATTCCTCAACTTAAAGGTCAGCCTATTATAGATGATCTTGAAGCTTTTTCAGCCAGGGCCATTTGCCTAAAGTGTCGTGATTTTTGGAGTCCATAACCTATTCTAACTTTAAACTCAATTACAGGTATCATATTATGGAGTGTACAAAGTATCTGTGAGACTGTTGAAGATAAGTAACTTGATTCACAAGGATACTTATGGGATAGCATGATCTAACATTTCATTATGTAATATAAGCAGCTAGCAAAATTTGAATACTTAATTCTCACTTACCTTTACCCACTTGTAAAGCCAAACATGCTGTTCCTCTAAAAATCTTTCAACTCATAGCAGCTTGCAAAGGGTCAGTCAAGTGAATTCAAGTGAAAACTACAACACAATCCAAATATTCAGTATTCAGTGGTATTGACTGGAGACTTCATATTAAGTTCTAAAAGATATAACAAAGATTAGACCTTGGTGAAAACTCTTAATTTTTCCCTTTGGAATTTAGATGTTGAGGATTTTGTATTACTGAAGGCTTTTCATGGCCAGAATCACTGGGTTGCTCTGAGTTTTCCGAGCTGCATGGCCATGTTCCAGAAGCATTCTCTCCTGACGTTTCACCCACATCTATGGCAGGCATCCTCTGAGGTTGTGAGGTCTGTTGGAAACTAGGCAAGTGGGGTTTATATGTCTGTGGAATGTCCAGGGTGGGAGAATATCCAGGATGTTGCCAATTGTAACAGTCACACTTGCCTCAAACAGACAAGAGTTGTTTCTCCCACCCTGGGCATTCCACAGATATATAAACCCCACTTGCCTAGTTTCCAACAGACCCCTCTGAGGATGCCTGCCATAGATGTGGGTAAAACATCAGGAGAGAATGCTTCTGTAACATGGCCACACAGCCCGGAAAACTCAACAACAACCCAGTTGAGTATTTTGTTTTGAAATTCAATACGCAGGGCATGGAGACAGAGCAGAAGGAAATTGTGCTAATTGTATTTATGACTGGGAAAAGTTGGTCAAAGTACTTGAACCTTTGTTTCAGTTGGGGTGAAGTTTGAGGGGTTTAGATTGCAATCCCTTGCACTGAATGGGACTTCTAAAGAAGCATGCATAAGGTTGCACTGCAAAAATGTTATGTCATTCTAAGCCATAGACTAAGAATTCATTTGTCCTTAAGATTCATTTTATTCAGAGTATGAAATGTTGTTTTGAAGGTAGGAATGGAAAATAGAAGGATTCAGTCTCTTCGTTGTAGCATGAAAGGAACAGTAGAATTCTTGAAATATCTGAAGCCATCAAAGGTCACCCTAAAGTTTACACAAGGGATGAACTCCATAGTGCTCCATTTATATTTCATATGTAGATTCAAACAAAAGTTTACTTTATTTATCGGGAACTTCAGGAAACAGAGAGGTTAAGTCAATAATGTTCCTGATAGTCTTAACAAATATATCTCATGTATCCTGGAGGTATGAGAAGACTTTTTGAACCAGTTTTCTTTATGTTTAGGGCTCAACAGATCAAAAATATTCAGAATCTCTGGCATACAGCCCTGCTCCTGATAAAAGCTACATGTGGTTTTATTGCTGTGATGAAATAAAAACAAATCTGTCACTTATTCTACAATTATAGAGTGAAGTAACAAAATCAATTACAATACACACAGAGAGATCAGCTTCTTTCAATAAATGAAGTTTCCCATAATACTCATTTGAGAAATAACACTCCTTTATTTTTCCTTAAAATTTTAGGTGAGGAGACTTCATGGTTTCTATTTTGACGACTTAAGGGATCACTGGCTTACTGTCCTTTTCTGTGGATTTTTCTTTAGATCAAACTTAGCCATTTTGGTTGGACCACTTCATCTTTAACCTTTATTCTGCTACCTATGCAAAGGTGTCTAAGAAACTGGCAGGGGGTTGGACTGGGTGGCCCATGAGGTCTCTTCCAACTCTATGATTCTATGTATTGCACTAATACTGTCGAACAACTTCCTGCTTTACTTACATGCGAAGCAGGACAGCACTAGGTCAGTTGGATGAAAGTGCACAGGAGACTGAATCCTTCAAAAATCTATTCAGATCCCTCACATCTGGTTGCTTCCAAACCACTATTTTGGGCATCTACAAACACTAGTTTGGTTCTTCCTATATCTCAGAATATGCTTCTTTCCCTAACCTCAGATGGGTAGACGTTCAATTCCTAGATACACAGATACACAGATAAAGGTAAAGGCTTCCCTTTCTGGCTCTGTAGGGTGGTGCTCATCTCATTTCTAAGCCAAAGAGCCAGGGTTGTCCGTAGACAGCTCCCAGGTCATGTGTCTGGCATGACTGCATGGAGCGCCATTTTCCTTCCCGCCGAGGCGGTACCTATTGATCAACTCACATTTGTATGTTTTCAAACTGCTAGGCTGAAGGAAAACGGTGCTAAAGGCGAGAGCTCATTCCACTTAATGTGACCACTGGAAACATACCTTACTGTAGTGCAAAAGCAGGAAGATCCTGGCACCATCCAATTCCACCTGGATAACACAAATAAGCATATATTTGGCAGAATGCATACATTAAATATTTTTAGTCATTTCTAGACATGGGGAATCATTTCATCCACTTGTGTTCTTCCTGTCTCCTAAACATTCACTGCCATAATTGAAATATCAACTAATATTCTGCTGGTCGCTTCTGTGGCGAGAGAATCAGCCGTCTACGAAGACGTTGCCCAGGGGATGCCCGGATGTCTTGCAATCCTGCGAGGAGACTTCTCTCATGTCCCCCACATGCGAGGCTTCTCTCATGTCCTCCACATGCGAGTGTGGAGAGGAGCAAACCACTGACCACCTGCTGCAATGCAACCTGAGCCCTGCCACATGCACAATGGAGGACCTTCTTGCAGCAATACCAGAAGCACTCCAAGTGGCCAGATACTGGTCAAAGGACATTTAATCAACTACCAAACTCACAAATTTTGTATTTTGTCTGTTTGTTTTCTTTGTTCTGTTAGAAATGTAATATAATTTGACTGGTTGTCCTGACACAAAAAAACCTTATATTCTCCACAGAAGACATTACTATAGAATTGTAGAGTTGTAACAGACCACAGGGGCCATGCAATTCAATCCCTTGTCATGCTGGAACACACAATCGTCATGCAGGAACACACAATCAAAGTACCCCTGGCAGACAGCCTCTGCTCGGAAACTTCCAGAAAAGGAGATTCTTCAAGGCATCATATTCCACTGCTGAACAGCAATTACCATCAAGAAGATCTAACTAATATTCAAATGGAATCTCTTTTCCTGCAATTTGAATTCATTTCTTTGGATCCTAATTTCTAGAGCAGCAGAAAACAAGTCTGCCCCCTCCTCAATGTGTCCAAATAGAAGCTCCTGCTTCAGCTGACTTGCTGCTTCCCGCACTGCAGGTATCATATAGGAGCAAGCTTTTTTGGAAGAGTAATTTAAAAAAACAGGACCAGATCTGGCATGTGTTATACTGTGCAATATAGAAAATGACAGGTTCGGCTGCATTGAGATACCCTGCCATTATCCCTGAGGTGTGATGGCCCTGTGGAACAAACTAGAATTGACAAAATTGCTGTTACAGAGAAAGTCATTGTAAAATCTGGTAATGACAAGTGCCTGTGTATTCTGCAAAAGGCATGCTTGGTATAGTTCACAAGACATCTAAATATATATTTTTATATGTATCCTCCTTGCCCACAGATAATCAGCCAATAATGTATTGTTACTATATCTCAATTTAGACCCAATAATATATTATTCATGGAAGGCTATTGCACTAAAAATTATTTTCTACATTTGAAGAAGAGGGGTTGTTATCTACTTGTTCCTATTTAAAAGTGCTTGTTGATAATTTATGGTATATTTTCTTTTTCTACTGGACAAAGTTCATAACAATTTTGGACTATTTATCTCAGTGTCTTCAATTTTCAAATGGTTTTAAGTCATTGTTCATGTTTGTTTTTGGAGGGAATTATCCCATGGGGGTGCGTTTTTAAAGCATTCTGCAGCCACCTCACTTGATAAAAGATGGATAATTATTATCAACCTGGATGAAGCACAAAGCAGTACTTTCTTTCTCCCTCGGGTACTGAGCACATCTCCTTTTTTTTTTTTTTTTTTTTTTTTTGAGCACATCTGACTGATTGAAGTCTCTGTGGCAACCCTTGAGTGTCCTCTTGCAGTTGGTTCTGGGCATCCCCTTGAGTCCAACATCTGTCAAAGACCTGGTCAGTAGGCAATTCCCATCAGCTCCAGATTTGAACAATTGCAATGCCCATCATCCTGACATCTAGCCAACAGGAACTCCCATCACATCCAGATTTGCCCAGGCTTCAACTCCCATCAACTCCAGATCTGACTGAGCTGCAACTCATGTTTCTCCTAACTCAGTGGTTCCCAACCTTTTTTTTTTACCAAGGCCCACTTGACCAGGGACCACTTTGACCTGGCACCACTTAACCAGGAACCACTCTCCAACATTAGTACCAAAAAGGGGCAGGGCTGTTCAGCTCTGCAGAAAGGAGTAGAAATAAAATAAAGTAAAATAAATAAATAAATAAATAAGAAGATGGTTTGCGGTCTGGATTTTTGTTCTCATGACCCACTGCTGGGCTGCACCCCACAGGTTGATAACCACTGTCCTAATCGGTCACTGGGATGATGGGACTGCAATTTCCATCATCCCCAGTGTGGCTCGCGAAGAGGTAAGGATGTTGGGAGATGCATTCTGGAAAGTAGGCTGTCTGACTGCTTTGAAGGAGAACAGCATTCTCATTCATGGGTGAAACTAACATGGCTCTCCAGATGTGAGTGGACTACAATTCCCATCAACCTCTGTCAATTCCCCCCCCACCCCCCCAAAAAACCCATCAATATTTTAAATTGGACCATGAAGGGTATGTGTGCCAAGTTTGGTCCAGATCCATCAAGCCATGGAGGAGTCTTTGTGATTCAAATATACATATAAAAACACATGCTTTGACTTTTATATAGAGAAATGACAAAATGTAAATGTTTATATATAAGAATAATAACAATATTCCTTTTCATGCCTGCTTAGGCAGTTCTTAGTAGATGTTGCAATCTAGATAAGCTAAAAGAAGAGGTTCATGGTCTGGGGATGCTCCTGGACCCATCATTACTCCTTTATGACCATGTGGTTTATGTGTCCAGACTTGCACCCTTACCCAAAAAAAGCAGATAAAAAAGTTGTGACTGCCTCCATATTGATATCTGCTGTGTCTGTATCATTAATCAACTGCACCAACTTCCAGTTTGTTTACAAGCCCAATTTAAGGACCTGGTTTTGAAAAACAAAGCCAAAAATAGTTTGTGGCCAGGAAATCTGAAAGACAGTATTCTCACATATAAACCTGCCAGATAGTCCATATTCGATCACCTCAAATAGCTTGGTAAGTTAATTATACAAATTTCTCATTAGCCAAGTTGGTACATCTACACTGCAGTTTTTAATTGTTGTGGCTCAATTCTGTGAAATGTTGGGAGTTCAGGTTTGGGAAGGACCAGCATATTAGCAGAGAAGATTTGAGACCTTATAAAACTACAGATTCCCATGATTCCATAGCATGGAGCCATGGCAGTTAAAGTAATGTCAAACTGCATTAATTTTACAGCGTAGATGCAGTGTAAGTAGTTAACTTTTTCCTGAGCGAAGTTGGGCTGGCTCCAACCAAAGTTTGCTAAAACCAAAGTTAGCTGTGAAGACTATTTTAGCTGAATGTGCATTTTTATAACTAACATTTTGAATGTTTGTCTATGACTCTGGAAACAAGGGCGTGCTCAATCATGTGAACCTACTGGGTGACCTTGGACATGCCACATTCTCTCAACCTCAGGGAAAGCGAGGGTAAAGCCTCCTCTGAAAATGCCAAAAAAACTGCAAGAGGGTCATCTTAGGGCCATAAGTCAGAAACTACTTGAAGGTGCACAACAACTTAGTGCAAATAAAAAACTGAGAAGCCCTGGCCAGTTCGATTTATCTATAGGATGAGAACGAGCATAGTGTGGCAGTTTGAGCATTGGAGTTTGTCTCTGGAGAACAACAGGGTTCAAATCTCTGCTCAGTCCTGGAAACCCACTAGTGATCTTAGGTAAGTCACATTATCTCAATCTTGGGAATTGCCAGTAATTTTCCATGACCGAGAAGGGATTAAAATCCTTGAAGGAAGGCTGAGAACATTGGACTAGGGACCTCATCACATTACAGGGGACAGCAGGGCATGTCAAGGAGCAGCAGGGTGAATCTGTTGTCCAATGGCTCGCATCACTCCCTTGCCCATCACACGCTGTAAAAGTGTACCTTTCCTGCGTGCAACCGCCGCTGTCCCCATGATTTCCTATCTGAACAAAATATCCTATGTTCAGATTTCCCCCTCTTACCACACTTCAAAAGTAGATGTGCGACATGTGATGAGATCCGGCAAGTTCTGTGCCGGCTGCGTAGACAAAGTGTTCTATGACAGGGAATTTTCCCTATGTGATGAAGTCCTATGACTCTGGAGACTAGGACTTGAATTAAGCCATTAAAACCCACTGGATTATTTTGGGCAAGACAACCTCTCAGCCTCAGAAGATAGCAAAGGCAAGCCTCCTTTGAACAAACCTTGTCAAGAAAATTCCATAATAGGTTCAATTTAGTTTGGCCTTAAGTCAGAAATGACTTGAAAGCACACAACCACCACAATCAGTAGGATTCAATATTAACCTTCGATTTTCCCCAGTTCATCTTCTTTCTTTCCCTTCAACATAGTGATTTTTTAATGAAGTCAGCAGAATCCCCAACTTTGTCTGGTTCAGCAGCTTCATTCAATGTCAGGATGAAAGGCGGGATTGCCTTTCCTTTGGTGAGCCTCTCCTGCCAGCCGGTAGGTGGGTGTCTTGAACAGAAGAAAGCCCTCGGAAGGCCTCTGTCCGCCTGCCTCTCCAGCTAATTAGCTCAGCCTCCAACAAAGATAAGTGAGCCAAGGAGGGGGACCCCCTGAAGGGTCTTTTGAATCTGAGCAATGTCTGATTGGCAGATGTTGAAAGAGATTCTTCAGTAATCCAGTTCATCAATGAACTGCATACATTCAGGACTCTACGGGACAGTCAGGCATGTGGACACTTGCTGGATGCAGCCTGGAAAAAGAGAGACCAAGATGGACAGAACCTTGGAATCGCTACAACATATAATCTCCCAAGCCTTGCCTCACCGGGATCCTGCCCTGGCATTTAAAGACTGTGAGTACCAAACAAAGTTTCTGAACTTTTGTGGGGATGCTTTGCATTCATGCCAAAGAGCTACCTGTGCCTCTGGAATGTCTTAGGAAAGTCTGTTGAATGTACTGATTCCATTTTACAAATTTCAGAATATCTTTGCATCTGTATGCCCCCATATGTGTGATATTGAAATAATACTATTACTGACCACTGTTCTACTATCTTTTTAATGTAAGAGAACTCAGGAAACTGCTTTTCTTCGATTCTCATTTGTTTAACGTATCTGTGGTTACAAAATGTACAACTTTTACTCCACTTACTATTTCTATGACTTGAAGGGCTTGATATATTTTATTTTAAAATACTGAAAAACACTGATATTTATACATTTTCACTATTAAACATGATTTTAAAATCAGAGTTTACATTCTCTCTAAATAAACAGAGCATGTACTTGTTATAATGCTCTACCCTCTTTCTCTCTCTTTCTTGCACACACACCTGCTTAGGGCACATTGCCTCTTTGTGCTGCATCCCAAAACAATCCTATCAGTATGAACCAAGTCTATGTTTTCTAATTAATATGGTCACTAAAGGTTTCCAAATTTAGTTATAAAAATATTTTCAATTAACTTTTTTCAGTATGAATTTGGCTTTCATGTAATGCAGCTGAAGCTTTGGTAATTCCTGGCTTCAAGTGATTTAACTCAAGATTTCTGCAAGGATACATTGCTGCTTTGTATTAGAAAGCATGAGAATCTAGTCCATAATTACTTGATTCTGTGGTCAGGAAAGCAAAATTCCTGAATGTTATGCAGAAATCCAACTCCAACGTTTTGCAAAATTTCTCATGATGAATCAATTCACTTAGAGCTGTTTTATCTCTCCACTGTGTGTTTTTCTCCAAACCATTGTTTACATTGAATTTGTTGTAATTTTAGCTCAAATTACTCAATTGTTGTCTTTGTTGGATAACATTTCATACAGTCTCCCCTACATTAGCCTCCTTGTATTATGTGAAAGATACTTTTTTCAAAGTGTCTGTGTAATATCTTTGTCAGTAGTAATGTTGAGCGTTAGTCACTCCAGCCTTGTGCATTCTTTCTCAATGTATATGAAATGGATGGGTTTTAAACAAGCAGTTTGTGAGAGCAGAGTTATGTATCGGTGATTCCTTATGCAGTTTGACAGAAATCAAGAGTTAGACAGATAAACAAACATAAATAGAGCTTCCTAGGCCACCCAGAAGAAAACCTTCATGGTGTTATTGCAGACCCCTGATAAGCTGATTTTTTTAAAATTCGGACACCTTGTTAGAGCAGATGCATCTTATAAGCAGAAAGAATCTGATCTAGAAAAAAGTGGGAGAAATTTCCCCTCCACCCCAACCATTGCTGCAGATTCCTGAAGATTGTCTGACAAGGTTTTGATTGAAAGTGTATGTACTGGCCGCTCAGTCAAAGTTATTGTGACCACCCACGGATCCCTGGGCTGCTAGGATGGCTATAATAAAGCAGAAAACACATGTCAGACACAATGGAGTTGAATATCGTTTTCAGCAGAATCACAAGTTGGGGTTATCCATTAAAAATACATTTTCTGATGGAAAAAAGCAACATCTTTCAGATGGAGATATAGCACCCTTAAATATAATTCATTTGTTATGGACTTTAGCCTGTTATGAGCTGTTGCGTGCTAATACGTCCCCTTATTCTAAAAGGGAATTAAGCCCAAGTGCCTCATAATATTTCAAAAGACTGAATTTTAAATATAGTTTACAGTTTTCTTTTTCAGCCACTTCAAAGAAGGGTGTCGGAATTTGGGGGCAACTCCAAGGGATAACAAGTGGTAATGAGGCTGACATAAAATAATTTCTAATGACCTTATTTAACCCCCAACTTTTTCAGCTACAGTGCAGTAAGGTCTATTATTAGCATGGATTAAATCCTTTTTATCCTGATGATTATTTTGCTAATTTTTTGTACCTCCCGTCGATTTTTTTCTGACGTTATCCCAGGTGGTATTCAAACTACAATTCAAGTAGTATTCTCTGTTTAAGATACACTCACCAAACTTAATTGTGATATATTAATGATCGAGGGAGATATTTCATTTCCATGCTGTATTTTATACCTTTCCTGCTCCCTTGGAAATGATTGTGGGGTGGATGAAGCTGGGATTCAACTTAAAATATGTTCATTCATTCATTCATTCAAATGTTGTGTCTGTTAGCATAGCATGGGATACAATCCTTTAAAAGACCATGGGCCCTTCCACCCATGCCCTATATCCCAAGATCTGATTCCAGGTTTTTTGTTTATCCCAGATTAGCTGGCAGTGCAGACTCACATAATCCACTTTAAAGCAGAAAACCTGGGATATAGGGCACGTCTAGAAGGGTCCTATCATTCTGTAATGTATTTGGGATTTCCATCACCCTTTGAAAATGACTATGGAGGCCATGTGTTGGAACTTAAAATGCAGAATATGTTCTGAACCAGTGTGGCAAATTTTATTTTAGTATTAGCATCTATGAGAGATACCATATTAAACAAAAACAAAAAAACAAAATCTCTCATTTTGGTCAATAACATTAATTTCTCCACAAACAAAATGTGTTGCTGTTTTGTGCCTTCAAATTATTTCTTACTATGATAACCTTAAGTTGAACTTATCATGAGATTTTCTTGGCATATTGGCCTTCCTATAAGACTGAAAGTATGTGTCTTGCCAAAGGTGACCCCTTGGGTTTCCATGGTTGAACAAGGATTTGAACATTGGTCTCCAATGTCAATTGTTCAAGCCAGTACATGTGCTGGCTCTCAGCAGAAAGAATACCTCACATCATTTGGTGAATAACATAAATTTTCCCATAACCAAGAATAAAAATGCCAGGATATCTGTTATTTCATGAAATCACTTCTGGTAACAATATATTGCAATGGATGAAACAATGGTCTTCCAAAAGCAAGCTGCTGTTACACCAAGACTAAAGGTAGCACCGAAAGCAGTCATTCTAAACCTGTGTGTCCCCAGATGTCTTGGCTTACAACTCCCAGAAATCCCATCCAGTTTACCAGCTGTTAAGGTTTCTGGGAGTTGGAGGCCAAAACATCTGGGGACCAATAGGTTGAGAACCACTGTCCTAAAGCAAAAAGGGAAAGAGTTCATTGGATGCACTTCAGAAGTCTGTTTGCAAGGTCTGGGTGGCGGGGGCTACATAAATATGGCACCATGATTCAACTTCAGCTGATGTAGTTTCGTGAGGAACTAAAACCCTTCAGCTGGGAATTCTAAATACATCTCCTAGCCTAAATAACCCAAGGACATCAGGTCCTGTCCAACTTTGGATGTTAAGTAGCATCACCTCTGGTGAGTATTTGAATAGGACCACCAATTAATACCAAGTGTTGTATGCTATAGTTCACTTGTGAGCATTCCTCACCTTAGAAAGCCTAATGATATTAATGGGGTCACTAAAAGTAAGCAGGCAACTTCTAGGCACATAAACACACAAACTGTAAACCCCATAATTCCATGGGGTGGAAGCACAGTACTATAATTATGTCAAGTCCCAGGTTTCTGAAACAGATCTGACCGATTTGTCACAGAGAGGAAGTCCATGTCAACAGGGTGCTCTTACAAAATGCCAGCCTAGTCATGTTTGTGTGCTATGTCTTTGGCGGTTTCAAGGTCAGCCAGAGGTAACTAAATCACATCCAGATTAGAACCACACTGTTTGATGAATCCTCTACTCAAAGTCAATTCCAAATTGTATTTGGTTTGCCTTTCAGAAGATTAAAGATGCTTCAGGGGCTTCTAAACTTTTGTAGGTCCAGAACATTATTTATGAAAACTACAAACATTTTTTTGTGAACTAAACTAGGCAGATGAACATTTTCCCATGAATTTTCAACATAACATGGTCATTTATCCAGCAACACTCTTCCCACTGATTCCCATTGATTGATTGTATTCATCATCCTGAAATCAGTTGGATGTTTGAACCAACAAGTAAGACTCATTCAGGGCTCACTTAGGATATCAATTCTGTTTTTGAAATTGTCTTTCACAATCTGCAGCTGGAGAAGGCCAAGATCTCAAGCTGAAATGACACATTCTTCACAAAGCTACTAGGATCTTAAAAAAGAAATACTCTGATATTCAACAGGTACTAAAGAGATTAAGGAGTGATAAATCACCAGTAGCTACATCAGCTGAAAAAAGCTGAAAGCCTTAAGACCAGATATGCTTAAAGGTGGAAGCACAATTCTTCAGAGAGAAAATGTAGGAAAATCTGTTCTGAACAAGTTGTGGGGAAAGCAGGGAGTTGGATAATTATATATTGCCTTATTAAATAGAAGTATGGGGGGAAAAACAGGATATCAAACAATCTCAAATAGTCATTTGATATCCTGGCCCCTTACAAAAGTGCTAACCATATTTCCGCATTCAGATAATTTCAGAAACCGGAGTTAAGAAAAGACATTTTGGTTTGTCTGCTGCCTCACACAGCTTGAAGGGGCTGTGTCCTTGGGGATGACCTTTTTATATCTTAGCTAAGTATGTCAATATATAATCAGCTCCAATGCAACCAGAGAGAAGAGCCTGCTTCTAATCTGACAGCCTTCATAGATCTGCAGCTCAAACCAATGAGTAAAGTCACCAGAAGTCCCTTTAACATGATTACCCACAGCATATAATCATATTTTAATTGGGTGCTCTTGGCATATGCATAGCTATCTCTCTTGTAAGCAAATGTGATTGGAAATCAGCTTAGACTCTTTGTTTTGCCTATTATGCACCAGGGTGGCAAGCCAAAAACTCATATTACATTGTTAGGATTGCATCCTCAACTTTTCACCCGGTAGGATCATTCTAATCAGTGAGGAGTCTTCTGGGTACAGGCACAGAGAGAAGAAGTATGCAACCCACAACTACATGCTGTGAAAAAATTGCTTGCTACTCTGAGTAGAAAATTGCTTGCATTTGCTCAGAACACCGTGCTTATTACATAATCT